GGGGGGGGGGTGTTGAGTGTGTTAAGTGATCGAATCGCTTGCCGCTGGCTTTGTACGGTGGATGATGCCCTGATTCTCCTTCATTTCGAGGTCTTCGAGTTTGGGGTGGGTGGGAAGAAGTGGTGTAGTAGAGGAAGCTTTAAAGATTTGCCCACCCCGGACCTCCTCTGATCACGCAGAGGCCATGCTGCATAGAGAATGGGGCGGTGAACTTCAGGCGCCTGGTCTAAATGCCTCCTCCGAGTATGGGCGGGGTGAGTGCGTGCTCCGGTATGCTATAGTTAGAAGTGCTGCAAATCGGTTCGGGTGGGAAGCGAGGGGAGGGCGGGCCTTAGTGAGGTGTGTTTCTACTGAATGAAGCAGGCAATTGCCCACACATCTAAGTAGCAGTCTCTCCTTGTAGCGACTTGTTTTTTGACCTACTACTTAGTAATCATAAAGCAACGGTTATAGTTTGGATGGGAGCTGGCAGTGTGTAGCTGCTTGCTTTTTCAGTTTGAAGTGGCGCTGAAGGTATTTTGGTAGTCACTTGTAGAGTCACATTGCTGGATAATCCCTTGTATATGCTATCCAGTGAGTGGATTTTAGGATTGAGTGTCCCAAGGAGAAAAGAAAGCGTTTGTGGTTTCACCTCTCCAGCGATGGCTGTTTGCTATCGGGCTGATTGTGTATCGTAAGCGTGTGGGACACTGCTGTTAGTGGAAAGAATGTTTTGGAAGCTGTTTGATTTGGGGGACTAAATGTGCTTGGCATTGACCAGAAAGCCGCCATTTCTGTACAGTTCAAGAATAGGTAGGTCATTTCGAAGACAGTCGGTAGTTTTAAGGATGGCAAACTACTGTATTTAACACAAGCTTCTATTCTAACCCTGATCTTTCACAAGAATTTATCCAGAAGAACTCTGTAAGGACACTGTACTTGAAAGTGAAACTTTTTACAGTCAAATTGTTCTTTTTGTTTGGGTTATTAAATTATGATAGGACTACTTAGAAAAGTTCGTTCAGTTTTTAACCAAAAATTGAAAACTTTTGTTCTGTACATCTTGGTGCTTTGTGGGGGCATTGTTTTTCAGCCTCAATTTTTAGACTGTTCTGATCTTACTGTACTTGAAGCGAGGAAATTTACGTTTGTTGGTGGAATATATATATTTTTGCTTTGATATTAGTATTTTAGTATTTAGAGCAAAGATTTTCATTAATGTGTGTCAGGTATTCTGTTTGTATTGAAAACCTTAAATAAATGCTATAAAAATTTTTGAAATCTTATGAGTTTTTGCTGTCAGTAATGGGCTGAAAGGCGTCAGAGGAATAAAAATCCTTGAACTCTTCATTTTTACGTCATCTGTAACTTAACTGACTCATTTTTTACACTTCTGGGTTTTTTTGTAACTGGCATTATCATTAAGGAAAACATTTGAGTTAAAATTGAAATTGCTGCCATTGTTACGAACATTTTTAAATTGCTATCAAGTAGCCAAGAAATAATGTCTCTTTTCTACCAACCTACTTTGTACAAACATAATCAAGCCACCCACCCATTTCCTTATCCTGGAAGGTTTTTAAGAGGGGGAGAAGTGGAGGTGACCATCTGACCTTTTTAGGTCTAACTACAGTAAACCAGGGGTTCTTAACCTGAGGTTTCATGCATGGCTTTCAAGATGTCCTGCATTTTCTGTAATTGTATACAATATTGTGAGTTTTTAAAATTTGGCAGGCACCAACAGGCATCATGTTCTTCTGATTGTAATGCATCTTGGCCCAAAAAGGTTAAGGAGTACTGATTTAGTCAGTCAGACCTTGAGTAGCACTGGCTTTGAAGAAAAAGCAAAGGAAAGATCTTTATAATGCTGGGCAATAAAAATGTGAATGTGTGCCAGCATCTTGATTAGAATCCTCTTAAAAAGATAACGTTGCATATGAACTGGTAGGTTTTAGCCAGTATATTATGTGAGGTGAAGAAGCTCATTTTTCTGTTATCATAGAATTTGTATTTATTTGGCAAATAGTTGGCAGGCTTTTATAGCTTTTCACCTTGCCAATGAATACCTGGAAGTTAAGAAAAAAATTCTTCTGACATATCATAAAGTATTTTTTAGACATACATATGTTCAAGGAATTTGTACACTTGTAATTTTAATCTCCAAAATCATTGAGGGTTGAAAGAAACAAAATATATATAAAATTTTTAAGTATAAGTATACTGAGTATAAAAGTATAAGTTGACTGAGTATAAAAATTTTAAGTTCTGTTGAGTATAAGGGTACCATATTTGATTGACTTGTGGTTCTTGCTAATTATTGGTATATACAGTAGGAAAACTCGTATACCATGTTTAACTTTTAGCATCTTCCTGTTGTTCTTCCCAGCATATCTTAAAAATTAAGGTAACATGCAATGCAGGGAAAGGAGTTTTACCGAATTAAAAGACCCTACTTAGTTAGGAAAGGGGAAATCCACTTAAACTTCATCTGTACCTAAAAATTTGAGATTAAGACTTCGAACTGTATCGATTTTTAGGGCCATAAATTCCTAATAGTTTCATTTAAAAATAGGTTGGGGGTGGTGTCTAGGTGGTTTGGTCAGTTGAGCATCCAACTTCGGCTTGGGTCATGATCTCACTTTGTTAGTTCCAGCCCCACATTGGGCTTGCTGCTGTCAGCGCAGAGCCAGCTTTGGATCCTCTGTCCCCCTCTCTTTGCCCCTCCCCCACTCCCACTGTCTCAATAAAAAAGATTTAAAAAATAAAGTAAAATAGGTTAGGAGTAATTCTTTATTTTTATAGTTAAGGTTTATTTTGAGAGTGCGCACATGCATGAGCAAGGGAAGGTCAGAGAGGGAGAGAGAGAATCAGAGGCAGGCTCTGCACGGATAACGTAGAGCTCCATCGGGCTCAATCTCACAAACTGAGATCAGGACCTAAGCGGAGATCAAGAGTCAGATGCTTAACCCACTAAGCTACCAGACACCCCCAGGGGTAACTTTTTTTTAAATATGAGTAGAACAGTAAGAGTTTTCTGTGGTCTTAAAATAGATCTTAATAACTAAAGCAGTTAGAGTATCTTCACCACTTATTTGCTTTTACTATTTATTTAGGTAGCCTTTAAAATACTTGTTAAAATATTTGCAAGAACATGGTTGAAGTAAAATAATATGAATAGAAAGTTCTTGACTGGTAATATCAAAACTTCATAGGCACCTTAAATTTTTTTCTTTATTTACAGTAATCTATGCCAGCAATTATGACAATGTTAGCAGACCATGCAGCTCGTCAGCTGCTCGATTTCAGCCAAAAACTGGATATCAACCTTCTAGACAATGTGGTGAATTGCTTATACCATGGAGAAGGAGCCCAGGTAAAGTAGCTGATCAAAACTTTATAACATTCTTGTAGTATAATGAAGTTGTTCATTTAGAATTAGATTTTAAATTATTACCTTTTTAAAAAGTGTTCCATAGTTTGTATTAACTTGGAAGTATGTATCAACCAATGAGAAGTGATCTGGAGAAATTGCAGTATATTTTGACATGGTTAGAGTGAGATATTTTGGAATATTATACTCATTCTATCTTTCAGAAACCTTTACCGCCATTTAATGAAAGACCCCCCCCATTTAAAATATTTATTAAATGCTTTGTAGATATAAAGGCTGTACATATTTTATGTGTGTAATATATTTGGAGTAAGGATTCTTGTATTTTTGAAATATGTAAATTACAGAAGTACTTCACAGGTAAAACTTGTTTTAAAATTCCCAGCAATACAGAGCATCTTAAGTTATTTGAATTTAAGACTTGTAAAAGTGGTACTGTTAATGTAGGTAGTTATCTTACATATCCATGTTTTGAACAGTTGAAGGTTTGGGGATTTTTTTGTTAAAAACACCCAGTTGAAAGAAAAACGAGAGAGGAATGTTCATAAATGTTTTAATTGTTTTACATTACAAGAAATTAGGCAATCTTGAATCTTCACTGGAATTAATCACAAAGAATTTTAAATCAGTAAAGTTTTCTGTTGTTGGATTTAAGTCTTTTAAGGTGATGTAACAAATATTAGTACAATTTTGTTGCCAAAACGTTATGTTTCTAGTAGATAATGTCTAGTACTTTTGAAGTTACTTATGTTCAAGAGATTAGTTTATATTTGTGTAGTTAAACCCTGAGTACTATCATAACTTTAGAAACCTGAAAGGTAGAAATTCTTTCTTTTATGGACAGTATAAAAAACAGGATGTATAAGTACCAGCCTATGCATAAGTATTTCCATTTCTTTTTGAAATCTAACATTTGTGGTTTCGCTGTATATAATAAAGAGAAAATTTAAAAAGGGGGCCATGAAAGTTGTATTAGCAGTAAAAACTATTCTGCAGACTTTGTGATAAGCTTGTTGGTCCAGTTTTATAACTCCTAGGGGCTTTTGGTCAGCATTCTTGTCTCCAAAAGTCTTCCTGAAAAAGTTATTCCATCCTTACCATGTAGTTGTTCCTTTGTGCTGTGCATTCACTGTGGAGCTTTAAGCTTCATTTCATTCTAACATGCACGTATGGAAAGCAGCTGCTTTTGGAAGAAAGTATGGAAGTAAGGTTGGGCTCAACTTTGAATGTATTCGAAGCACAAGTCTTGTTGCCTTTAGGAAGATGGGCATTTAATTTTGTCATGTTGCTCAGCTGCTACTGCTGTTTAAATCTTTGTTGTTTTTTAACATGGCTCACAACATCTAAAACTATGATGGATAAACAAAGAGACCGGTGTTTTTCTAGGCTTAAAACTAAGAAGTAGCAGTAATTTTTTTTTTTTTGTCATGAACATATTGGTACTGGGATACCTGGCTGGTTCCGTTGAGTTCAAGCCCCATGCTGGGTGTAGAGATTACTAAAAAAATAAAGATAAATACGTATCAGAGGTGATGCCACTTTTAGTAATGTTTCACAGTATTGAGAGTTAATGATTTGTTTTAAATTTGACTTTTGAGTAAAATGTAGGCTTAGAAAAGTTTTCATATTTTCTAATTTTGTTCTTTCTTTCTTTCTTTTTTTTTTTTTTTTGAGAGAGAGTAGGACAGGGATAGAGAGAGGGAGACTGAGAATCCCAACCCGGCTATCAGCACAGAGCCCGACTTGGGGCTCAAATAAACCATGAGATCTCAACCTGAGCTGAAATCGAGAGTTGGACACTTCTGAGCCAACTGGACACCAACTGAGCCACCCAGGCACCCTTAAATTTTCTATTTATCAAGGCAAAATAAACTTTCCCCAAAATAAGAATATTATGTTTAGTTATATCATAAGATGAATAGGTTGTGTAAAGATAATTGCAAACTGTTATATTGTAGATAAGGAAATGGAGGCTGAGAGCTTAAAGTCAGCTGAGAACTTTTTTCTAAAAGTCATGTTTTTTAAATTCTAGTTCAGTGTATTTTACATGTGCCACCTTTTGAGGGTCTTATTTTGAATAAAAAGAAGCATAAAGCTGTTGTGGAAAACATGTTTTTAGTGATAGAATCTTGATTTTAGTCCAGTAAGGTTTCTAGTCACTACTCTAGAGTCTCAGCCACAAGGTTACCAACTTACTGAAGGCAAAGATAATGGGGTTTGTAAAACCACCTGTTATAGTACCTGATACTTACAAGGCATTCTATTTAAAAGGTACTTTGGGAAGTATAATGAAGATCTACCATATGTGATGTAAACTCATTGTGTTTTTGTTTTGTTTTGTTTTGTTTTTTTAATTTTTTTTTTAACGTTTTTATTTTTGAGACAGCATGAGCAGGGGAGGAGCAGAGAGAGGGAGGGAGACGCAGAATCTGAAGTAGGCTCCAGGCTCTGAGCTGTCAGCACAGAGCCCAACGCAGGGCTCGAACTCACAGACTGTGAGATCATGACCTGAGCTGAAGTAGGACACTCAACCGACTGAGCCACCCAGGCACCCCTAAACTCATTGTTTTAAAATACAGTAAGGTTTCTTAATTTTTTCCAGTTTCAAAATAATGTACTAAAAAATGGCAACTAAAGGACTACATAAAAGTATTTTTCTATTTTTAGCCAAGTTAGGCAGCCAGGGGGGAAAAAGATATATAGAAGAGTTGGGTGTTTTCTCCAGTATTGTGTGAGGTGACTTGAACTCAATCTATTGCTTAGCAACTAAAATACTTTCACCATTCAGTAAGTAACACAGGGAGATAACAAATTTTCTCTTCCTTTAGTTGCCTTTTTCTTTTTTAGCTCCTTTTGGAGTTTTAACTTAATAAAAAAATATTATAGAAGGATAGTGTGGTTGGGGCAAAATTAAGACCCTAAGATGGAAATACTAGAAATAACTTCAGAGAGTAAAATGACCACTAAAAGGAAGGGACATGATTTATGCAGAGTTTTAATGAATAGTTAATAGTGTAGGGAGTATTCACTACGTGCACAATGGTCATCACTTCAAAAGTTCTCACAGTATCTTAACAAAATATTATTAGGCATTGATCTTTGGTATTCTTATTCTCTTGATATTTGTTACTATTTTATGTGCAAGACTATAACTAGTTAGAAATGAATAGATGTAGTTAGATGCTCTCAGGGAGAGAATCAAAACATTTCTAAAGTGTGCTTTGGCCCTAGATAACTCAGTTCACTATTCTTTTAGCTTTTTGTCATCATATAGCATAATTATAACTCCATAAAACTATTAGTCCCTTAATGAAGTCAGATCCAAAATACTTACATAATAAGAATTTATACTCTGGCTTTAACCCTATGTATATTTTTAGGTTGGAACCCAGGCAACTGGTTTTCCTTCCAAGTTACATGGTGGTTCTGGTGGTGGTGTCAAGGTGCAAAACCACTACTTAACATAGTTGGGTGTATATTTCTCAGTTCTTCTAAACAGTAAGCAGTGTCTATTGCTGATTGGGTGGTAGGGAAAATCACTGTATTTGCTACCTAAGGAAAATAATGCTTAACATTAAAGCCAAAATAAGGAGCGTGATTTTTTTTTCTTCTGTAAGTTTGAATAAAAGCTAAGTTAAAGAAGATTATGAGGTGTCGGTCAGAGAAGGTTCCAATAGGAAGGCTTCTTTTCCCCTTTTTGATGCTTGCTTATAAACTCTTAACCAAGTTGAATCAATCTGACAGAAAGGTAATTGGCATTCTAAAGCCATCAAACTTTTTGATTTCATGTGTTAGAAACAGGTAAAAGGTAATTAGGGAGGATCCAGTTGAGCTACAAAACTGCCTTTAAAGGCCAAAAGATTAAGCTCTTCTTGAAAAAAAAATCAGAATTAACAGCCTTTGGTAAAATGTGTTCATCTCCTGAAAAACTATAATGATTAAAATGAAAATACATAGTATCAATATGGCGAGATCTCAAACTCCATTGTCAGTCATACCTTGCAATAAAGCTGAAGGAAAGTGTCAAATGAAAAGAGCAAATTGTAGGATTTTTATAGTATGTTATTTATGTAAAATTTAGTGACCACACAACTGTATTGTTTATGAAATTTATACACATGCTGTGAAGACATGGACAGAAAAAGACCAAATTCATGAAAGTGATTACCTCTACAGAAGGAACAAAGGAAGGAAATGGCATTGGAGAAAGGTATAAAGGTGATTGCCAAAAGTTTTAGATCTTCTACGTTTAAAAGAAAAACAGATACAAGTAAAACAAAATGTCAGTATTTATTCTAGATCATGGCTGTATGCTAGGTTTTTACTATTTCTGGGTTGTATTTTAAAGATAATGAAACGAAGTTTTTGAAATAAGATTGGATTTAATATGACATTTAGAGGAATTTGAGAGAGTGTAAAACAGATGTATTTACCATAAACTTAGACTTTTTAAAAAGGGTTTAAGGATCTTCATGTTTTATATATATCTACAGGTATTTGAGGTTTGTGGCCTTACTTAGACCTAGTATTTTTCAGTCTTCCTATGAGATCTATTTTTATAGTAAAGTTTGTTAGAGGTATCTTGGTAACTTGTAAGTCAGAGTGTACCATTACATAATTTATCTAAGTATCTGAATTTTTATATGTTGCTTTTGGTTGATTGTAAACTGAAATTTGGGACGACTAGGTGGTTCAGTTCTGCTCAGGTCATGATCTCATGGTTTGCTTTGTGAGTTCAAGCCCCACATCAGACTCTGTGCTGACAGCGCTGAGCCTGCTTGGGATTCTCCCTCTCCCTTCCCCCATCCCCTCTCAAAATAAATGAATTAATTTTAAAAAAAGAAATTGGATTTTAAGAGTGATAATGGACATATTTATTTGTATATGGACTCATTAATTTCTTGTGTTTCAGAAAGTTAATAGAATCACTGTCCCATTGGGATTTGTGCCTTGCTCGGTACCATTTTAATGAATGATTAAAAAGAACAAGTGAGCTTAAAATTATTTTCATGTAATATTTTAGCAAAGAATGGCTCAAGAAGTACTGACACATTTAAAGGAGCATCCTGATGCATGGACAAGAGTCGACACAATTTTGGAATTTTCACAGAATATGAACACGAAAGTAAGCAAGTGGTGGTTTTAAAATCCATTATTTCTTCTTTTCTTCCAGTCATAAACTTTGAGGAAGGTATCTCATTTTTAGTATTAGTGTTTGTTATCTCAAACATTTAATATTGTTAACTTATTTCAAAATTTAGTCTTAAACATAGAATTAATTCTTGCAAATAGTCCTAAGAATTATGAATGAAGTTTTGTAACTGGGACTAGAATGCAAGGTGGCTTTTTTTTGGTTGTTTTTTGTTTTTGTTTTTAGAATATGTATACAGATCTAAGTAGCATAAATTCTGGATGTTATTCAGATATGAAACATAACATCAGAGGAATTTTGGGCAAGTAATCAATATAATACAGGTTAGGCACCTCCAACACGAAGTTGTGTGGGCAGCAATAAAACCCTGCTCCATGGTAGCAATGCTCTTAATGGGACAGCACTCAGTTTTTATTTGCAATTGAAAAATGTTATAATTTGGGTCCTTTTTTCCTAGTTTGAACAGAAGGGTTGATCAAAATGTGTTTTGACTGTTTTAGGCTTGATGATTCACACTTCTCTTTAAACTGCCTTGAAGTAATAAAATACCATGCATGGCATTCTGTTTAATACACACAAGATTTCCACTTGGTATACATTGTGTTAAAACAGAAAATAGCCATTTTCACATCTGTTTCTGAAATCAGACTGTATTAATTAACAGTTTTAAAATATTGATTAGTTTTGACATCTTGTAAATTTTAGAGCAAAAATACAGTCCAGAACTTCCTCAAAGTGCTAACCTTAAGTAACATAATAGTGTTTGCCTGTTTGCTTGCCTGGTAAATTTTGCTTTTTATACTGACAGACATTACTAATGTTTAAGTTGATTTATCAACAGTATTTTTAAAAACTCAAATTTGTCTTGTGAAAAATGAGATGATTAGAGGAACAGAAAGAAAGCAACAGGTAAAGAATTCTTCAATTTACATAAATTACAAATGATTTGGTGCTAAATTTATGCACTATGACATTTGGCTTTTATGCAATCATTTTTTTTTCTTTAAAGATGTTAACACTACCTGATATTAATCATAATGTTCCATTATGTTGATTGCTTGTAATAGGAAGAAAAGGGGTGTCTTCCTGTGCAACTGACACAGCTAGGCTTTGACGGCAGGCCTCCACAAGGTCTACCCTTTTGATTCCCTTTAACTGAATTCTGTTCATCAATTGTTTTTGTTTCATGGGCGGTGGGAGGGGAAAGGGGAATTCAATGCATAAAATAAGTATTTCTAAGGGCTCAGTAGAAATTTCTACCATAGGGATCATTTCATGCATTTATTTTTTCATTTAGTCTTTGCTGTTATCTGTCCCTCATCTTCATAACTCAGCAGTGGATTTCTCAGGTCCTGAGATGTGACGCAGATACGTAAATAATTCTTTTGAATGATGTTTGGATTATTTATCAGTATCTCCAAAGTAGTCTTTTACTATTGGCCCCCAGATTTGGCTAACACTTAAGATTTTTAATCAAAATACTCTTATTTCAAAAAAATGTGGGTTCTCTTCATATGTAGAGTCTTAAGGTCTAGGAGAGATTCGGTTTGGGGATATTATGATGATCTTTGTATCCCTTTACTTGTGAAAGCTTTTATTGGGCTTAACTGCTTCAGCCAGGAGGGCAGAATGAGGAAAATATGAATTGTATCCTCCGCAAGCTTATGCTATCTTTTTACAGTTGGGGAAAGGACTTAGAGGTTAGTAAATAGGTAACTTAGGTAACAAAGTATCAAACATAAAGGAAGCAGGGTAATAGCCTTCAATTAAAAAGTGTAAGCTGGAAAATATGGGCTAAATAGGGCGAAGTTAAGAGATTTTGCTTCTTCCTGGTATATTTATAGTGGATTTTTAGTTTTTTAAAGATCTTTTTAATTGCTTGAGAATTAACAATATTCCATGTAGTAAGAAGTGCATTGTTTTGACTTAGCAAAACGTTGACAGTCTGATTTCGTATCTAGAAAATTAAAGTTTTTAGGGTAGTATGTTCTTAAAAGTTAATTTAAAATTTCAATCAGAATATCACCTTTTTTTGCCTATTTTTCTGAGGTCTAGACCTATAAAGGAATTACAAATGAACAGGATAGAAAGTTTCCCTATTTACTGCTGATTATGAAACCCTTTAATGGTATCAAATTTGTAATTTCAGAATTTTGCTTTGGCTTTTTTATTTTGGGAGTCTTTTTAAGGAATGTTCTGCAAATGTAGGATTTTAGTTGAAATGGCAAAATTTTCTTGAAAAGTATGAAATGTTAAAATGAAAGAAAACAGCAAAAACGTTTACTATTTGAGCACAATGTAGTTTGGGACAGTCTATATTGTGCTTTGGATAAAATTAGCATTCACATGATCCCTTTGGTTGAAATACTAATGCTCCTATTTTATTGTGTGATGACTAACCATTTTAAAGATGAACTCTTATTCTCAGCCAAAACTTGCAATCTGAGGTTATATGTCTATATATGAATGAGTTTATCTTTCAGGTATTATAACTGATTCTTCCCTAATTCAACCAGTTGAGACGTACCACAACAGTTTTGTCCCTTTTCTTCCTCCTGTCTATCCACACTAATTGGTCATGGTAATAATTTTGTGTAGTAACTTGTATAGCATTATAAATTGTTGTGAACATTGTTGACTATTTAGAGTGAGTAATGAGCAGGAGGGACAAAATGGCTTGAAAGTGGTATCTGTATTTATTAACGTACTTATATTTTTAGTAATGACTTTTATATTTAGGAAGGAATACCTGAAAGATAAATACAGATTGCAACATGCGTTTGTGTATTATTTTTGACTGTGCACAAAAGTTTATCTTTAAATTAGTAGAAATAGCAACTGTAAGGGTGGGATTAAAATTGAAAATTAAACCCTTGGGCTGTCTTGCTGCTCCTTAAGTAACACACCAGTGATGTTTGTAAACACTTTCTATAGAAAGTATCTGTGACAATACTTTAATACTTGGCCAAGAGCTTACAACTCCTAGAGGATGGTAGGGAGCTTGAGAGCATCCAAGCTGCTAAATTCTTAGGAGCCTGGTCGTGTTAAAGTACGTGAGCCTATGAGCAGTCATTTATGCTGTGAATTCATATCTGGCTGCTACTTTTCCTTCTACAGATAAGCCCATTTGGCTGCTAAAGGGCTTTTTATTTGGTTCTTCCTCCTGGTGTGAGCATGTATAAACAGCAGGACATTAAATAGAGTAGTAAACAATAAAATGAGGAAAATGCATGAAAACTCAGTATATGGGTGAATAGATCCTTGTTTAATATATGTAATTAAACTTGGTAGCATAATGTTTTTGAAACTTTAGATGTAAATGTGTGAATGTCTGTCCATTTGTGAATCCTGAAAATTGCCAGTCTTATAGCAATATGTTCACATGATTCTATTCTCCAATTTTCAGTATTATGGACTACAAATTTTGGAAAATGTGATAAAAACAAGATGGAAGATTCTTCCGAGGAACCAGTGTGAAGGTAGGAAAATGCTTTGAAGAATTGTAAATCCAGAATTTTATTATTTTTGGCATTTGTATTATAGTTGAATATCAGATGGGGGATTGTTAAATCTTCAGTAGTTTATTATGCTTTAATGGAGATTATGGCTTTCGTCATGTAGCAAAGCAGGGGGAGGAATTAGTTTACCTTTTGGGGGAAAGAGGAGGCCAAAGTGGTTGAACTATTTACAGTAAGTACCATGATAAAAAGTATATATCAACTTCTAGTTAATTGGGACCATGTTTGAAGTGAGTGAAATTTGAATGTGTGTTCTTACACATGGGTTTAAGTTTGCCAAATGGTAACTGACAAGTGATAAGTACTGTAGTACCTGAAATAATATGTCAATTTAACAAAGCAAAGGAAAAACGAAATTTTAAAAGTCACAAGGCTTTACCTTTGGAAATTCTGGGCGAGCGCTAGAAGATATGGACTTCTAACTTAAGGAAAGAAAAGAAAATTGGGATGTGATGATGCTTGCTATTCGTATTTAACTTTTGCCTTTGTACTGTCTCAGTAACAGTCCTGTTTAAGAAACTTGGGGCAAGCTTAATCTCTTGGAGTATATTGATGTAGTTACTTCCAGTTTTCATATACTGCCTCTGTCACCTACTTTATATCCCTTGTTAACCTCGGAAAAATATATAAGTACAAGCCTGAACTTTATAATGGGGAGTATGCTACTACTGGTGGCAGTTTTTTCTATTAAAACCAGTCTCCTGTCTTGGACTGTTGATCTTTAATATGTCTTTTTTCACTTGCTTTTTCATGTCTTTTTTATGGTGGAATAATGACCTGGATTTACTCAGCTGGTCTTTCTCTAGAAAACTGACATCTTTCTGGCATGTTTATAGGTGAATAAGACAGTTTTTAATGGCAGTATCCTTAATGTACCATAAGCCATAGAGTAAGAATGAGAGTACAGGGGGAAATACTGCTTTCAAAAAAAGGTTCCTATTTCTTTAAATACTTTATTTGGGGTTGAAACTATTTTAGATCACGTTGTGTGACCTTCTCAGAAGTTAGTAAGTCCAGTTTGTTTGGACCAAATAGATCTTCATATCTCGTCACTGCCCTTTAGGGATCTTCGGAGCACTTCTCGTTCCTTTGCTGCTGTTAAGTCCCTCTTGTTTCTAAACACATAGTCCTCTGCCTCTTACCACATAAGGATTGCACTAGATGATTCTTCGACATTTTTCTGACTTTAAAATGAAACAATTTATAATGATACTAGCTGATCATGGTTCTCCATGAAAAAATTGGAGGCTAAAGGGTTCCCTGAGGATTTGACATTTTTAGCCTTCTGCATGAATGAGAGTAGTAGTAAGTTTTGGTTTTTATCATAAAGTCCCAGTGCTTCTCATGCTTATGTGTGTCAAATGTGCACATGCTCCAGGGTGTGTAAAACTGTTTACTTTTGAAAACCTGTCATGTTTGAAAAAACCGGAGAGAGACATGGTGATTATTCTGCCTGTAACATTTCTAGACAAAAGAATATTATTAAGAAAATTGAAGTGAATATATATTTACAGTATTATACTGTATATAATTTTTTAAATGCACATATGAATGGACCCATCCACTTCAAGCCTGTGTTGTTCAAAAGTCAGCTGTTATCTATAAAATGATTTATCAGGGGCACATGGTTGCCTTAGTCAGTTGAGCATTTGACAGTTTGGGCTCAAGACATGATCCCAGAATCATGGGATGGACCCCGGAGTTGGGCTCTGCATTGAGCATGGAGCCTGCTTAAGATTCTCTCTCCCAAGGTTCCTGGGTGGCTCAGTCAGTTAAGCGTCTGACTCTTGATTTTGGCTCAGATTGTGATCTGACGGTTCATGAGTTGGAGCCCCATGTTGGGGTCTGCACTGACAGTGCCGAGCCTGCTTGGGATTCTCTACCCCTCTCTCTACCCCTCCCCACTCGTGCTCACTCTCTAATTGAATAAATAAAATAAAAAACCTCTCCCTCTGCCCCCCCTTGCATGTGTGCTCTCTAAAATAAAATAATAAAGATTTATCAGAATCCCCTTTCCCCTGGTATTTCTCTTAAAGACTAATGATAACAATTAAGTGGGATCTAAACTTTATAAAAACCACTCACATGATGGTTGCCATTGTCAGTGAGGTCATTACATGGAGGAAAAAGTGGTATAACTTCTAGGATCTTTCACAGGCTTGTTGGAAGAGCATGTAATGTGCCTCCCAGAGAATGTGAATTCCAGATTTAAATAGGCAACAACAACTTTGCATGATGCATTTAGTGTGATTGTGTTTTTAAAGTAAAACATTGGGGGGGGAAATTCAGTACTCTCTGAATTTTTTAATTAATTTAAACGTTGTCAATCCTGGTAGGGTTCTCCAATCTTAAGCTTTCTTATCCCCCAAAGTACACTAAGTTTTCTGAATGTTACTTTTATTTCATCTTTAAGTAACTTAAGTATTGGGAGTAAGTTTGTGTAACCCCCAAAATAATGTATATTCTTTTTATCTACAACTGTCATGTTTTTTAAAGCTGTTGTCTCCACTTGGTAGCTATTCCTTGTCCATCTTCCTTAGCATATATATTTATTTACCTAGTACATATATTGTGTTTCTGCTTAGTACAAAGCATTAGTTGGTATTAAGTCTATGTAAATGTATCCCTATACCAACATGCAGTAGTTGGGAAGATATAGAAAAGTTAAATAAGGTATATATAATGAGTGCTACTCTCACTATAAAAGAAGGGGATGATGATCAGGTTGAGCCCTTTAAACCGCTCCTTCATGTAAATGGCAATATTTTGAAGGAAGAAAACATTTGCACAGAGAGCAAGCCAAAATAACTTTTACATTTTTCCAAACTAGTTTTTTTTGTTTATGTTTGTTTGTTTTGAGAGAGAGAGAGAGAGAGTGCCTGAGCTATGGAGGGGTAGAGAGAGAGAATTCCCCAAGCAGGCTCCGTGCTGTCAGTGCAGAACCCACAGAGACTGATACATGGGGCTCAGTCTCAACAACCATGAGATCATGACCTGAACCAAAATCAACAGCTGGATGCCTAACTGACTGAGCCACCCAGGCGCCCCAGAGAATTTTTGTTTTTTTTTTTTTTTTTTTTAATTTATTTTTTCAACATTTATTTATTTTTGGGAGAGAGAGAGACAGAGCATGAACAGGCGAAGGAAGTGTAAGAGAGAGAGAGGGAGACACAGAATCGGAAATAGCTCCTGCCCAGCCATCAGCCCAGAGCTCAGCTGGGCTGGAACCATCGACCGTCTGGCTGGGAAGTCGGACGCTTAACCAACTGCGCCACCCAGGCACCCCGAGAATTTTTGTTTCAATTAAAATTTTTTTATTGAAGTAAAATTGACACACAGTTTCAGGTGTACAATGTAATGCCATGCTCACCATAAGTGTAGCTTCCATTTGTCACCATACAATGCTGTTATAATATCATTGACTGTATTTTCTATGCTGTACCTTTCATCCCTATGATTTATTCCTTCCATACTGGAAACCTGTACATCCCAGTCCCCTTCAGCCCCCCCCCTTTAGTGTTTTATTCTTCATTTTTGAGAGAGAGCATGAGCAGAGGAGGGGCAGAGAGAGAGGGAGACACAGAATCTGAAGCAACTCCAGGCTCTCAGCTGTCAACATAGAGCCTGACGAACCGCAAGATCATGACCTGAGCTGAAGTCAGACGTTTAACCAACTGAGCCACCCAGATGCCCCACCCCTTCACCTCTTTTGCTTCTATGTAACCATCTGTCCTCTAGGTAGCACTAGTTTTCTCTTTATATATGGGTATGTTTCTGCTTTGTTTTGTTTATTTTGTTCCTTAGGTTCTGCATATAAATTAAATCTTGTGGTATTTTGTCCTTTTCTGACTTAGTTCACTTAGCATCATACCTTCAAGAACTCATTCTTTTTTGTGGCTGAGTAATAATCCTTTGTGTGTGTGTGTATTTAACCCCACATCTTTGTCCATTCATCTGTCGATGAGCACTTAGGTTGCTTCCGTATCTTGCCTATTGGAATTAATTGCTGCAGTAAACACAGGGGTGCATAGATCTTGTGAATTTGTGTTTCCATTTGAGTAAATCCGCGGTAGTAGAATTACTGGATCATACGGTATTCCTATATGTAAGTTTTTGAGGAACCTGCACATACTTTTTTCCACAGTGGCTGCACCAGTTTACATTCCTACCAACCATGCAAGAGGGTTCTTTTTTTTCCATATCCTTGCTGTGGATTATTATTTCTTGTGTTTTTGATTCTACCATTCTGACAGATGTAAGATGATCTCATTGTGGTTTTGGTTTGCATTTTCCTAATGATTAGTGATGTTGAGTATCTTTTCATGTGTTTGTTTGCCATCTGTATGTCTTCTTTGGAAAAATAACTATTCAAGTCCTCTGCCCATTTTTAATCAGATTATATGGGGGATTTTTTGATATTGAGTTGCAGGCTTTTATGTATTTTTGATGTTAACCCCTTATTGGATAGATCATTGGCAAATATCTTCTCCCATTCAATAGGTTGCCTTGTTTTGTTGATGGTTTCCTTTGCTGTGCAAAGTTCTTTTATTTTGGTGTAGTCCCAATAGTTTAATTGTGGTTTTGTTTCTTTTGCCTGAGGAGACATCTGTGCTAGGTCTAAGAGATTACTGCCTATGTTTTCTTTTAGGAGTTTTAGATTCATGTCTCATATTTAGGTGTAACTCTCTGTTAAAGTGTGTGTGTGTGTGTGCGCGCGCGCGCTGTAATAAGAAAGGGGTATAATTTCATTCTTTTGCGTGTAGCTGTCCAGTTCTCCCAACACCCATTTGTTGAAGAGACTGGTTGCTAGACACTGAAGTAATTAAAGGTACACTAGGACTGTTAGTGATGTTGATTATCTGGGCTGCACATCAACATGAATTTTTCCAGCTAACCCTCCTCCTTTTTTAAAAATAATGTTTGCATTTGAATTAGAAAATTCTAATTAGAATTAGAAATTC